ATGCTACTTAATGAATCGCACTAAAGCTTTACCTTTTAGCGATTTATCTTACGATAACTCTTATTTTGTTGATATTTCTTTGTCTTGTTGCTTAAACTCTGAGTTTTTTGTACTCTACTAACATATCTCTCTCTACTTCTACTGCTCTCTCTTATTGTATATACTGTTCTGTCACACTTAGTTCTTTCTTTTAGATATTGCTTACTATGCCATTTCTTATCTATTCTGCTTCACTCTAATTTTGTAAAATAATAGAAGATCTCTCTTCTGACTGTTACTTTGAGATTCTTTTCTATCTCGAAGTATACTGATGCTATTCCTCTTTGATTAAAGTTGCTATTGTATAATATATACGAAATTTTTGAAAATCATGGGTTGTCACGTGGTATAGTATCTGATAGAGACCCAAAATTTGTGAGCAAATTTTAGAAGGAGCTGTTTAAATTATTAGGCACCAAGCTACACATGTCTTCAGCAGTATATCTACAAACAGATGGGCAAACAGAACGGGTCAATAGAATATTGGAGGATATGTTACGAATTTATGTTAATTATCGCCAAGATAATTGGGACCAGCTATTATCAGTCGCAGAATTTGCATATAATAATATTCAAAAATCATCAACAGGATTTACCCCATTTCAACTTGATTACAATAACCAACCTTTAACCCCCAGCAGCTTAACAGCAAAAATATCAAGAAATGCAAAGGTAAAGGCGGCTCAAGAATTGTATGAACATTGGTTGGTGACAATAGTAATGACGAAGAATGCCTTAATTTCAGCTCAAGAAAAACAAGCAAAATATTACAATAAGAGCCACAGGGACTTAGAGTTTCAGGAAAGAGACCAGGTTATGCTTTCAACGCAAAACCTCTTATTAGCAGTAGACTTAAAAAGAGTTTCATGGAAGTTCACCCCAAGGTTTATTGGACTTTATAAAGTAGAGAAGAAAGTATTAGCAACAGCGTATAAGTTGTCTTTGTCCTCAAATATAAAAATACACCCAGTGTTTCACATATTCTTATTGAAACATTACTTATCAAATGAATTTGAAGGAAGAAAGGAGATGCCACCACCCCCGGAATTTTTCACAAGTTTGAATTCGGAATCTAAATTTGAAGTTGAGGAAGTATTGGACAAATAAACCTATTATCGGAAGCCACAATACTTGGTTAAATGGAAAGGATACCCCTTCATGAAGCAATGTGGGAACCACTATCAAACTTGATAAATGCAATGGAAATAGTTGAGAGGTTTGAATCGGGAAGTAGAGAAATAGAGAGTAAAAAAGGTGGAAGTTTTAGTTTAAGTGTGGGAGAGTGTAACGGGTTAGGTTTGCATAATGATAATCGATTAAGCTGTAACGGCTTCGATAACAACGATAACAACGATATGCAGGAAATAGCGATCAAATTGGGTAATTAGTACATAATCGGGTGGTAATTTAAAGAAGAGCAAATAATACTTATTGTGCTCATGTGATACGATCATGATCATGATCGTGATTGTGCACCGGTAATTAATGATATAATTAATATGCGATGAATCAAGTGGGGTTAAAGTTAAATAAATTAATTAGTTACATGCATAACAAATATAGTCATAGTTAAATAGCAGATTAGAATTTGAAAGGTATAAAAGAAAAGAACAATATAAGTAATAAAAGACACCTTTTTCAAAAATCCTGCTTAATATACACATATAGTAACAAATGTGTTAGTACACGGTTACAGGTAGTAAGAATTCTTTATAAAGCGGATCTCAAAGTTTGTTGCCAAGCACTTACACTACAAGCCAAGATTTATGAAAAGTATAAATATAATGATGATGGATCTAATATAATTACTAATATAATTACTACACCACTAGATGAGATTTATGAGTCTGAAAATAATGATGACAGATCTCTTGTAATTACTTCAGAAGTTTAAGTAAAGCTAAAGTTTATCTTGATATCATTAAAGAAATAAAAAATAAAAATAAAAAATTTATTTACACTCTGTATATTTTTTTATATATTGAAGTCCTTTCTTGTCATATGTTATTAACATTATTATTATACAGAAAAGCAAAATAAATAATAATTTATTTTCTTTAATTCCAAAAGATGGTATTAGTGCTAAGTGATAGATTTATACTTTCTTTTATTATTCAAAGTTTTAATCTTTAAATTATAATCATTCTTATCTGAAATAATTTTGAAGATATGATTACTTACAGCATAAGCAGACCTAAAAAAATGGATGCAAACAAATATAGAACTTTTTATTACAGTATAATATCACATGACTAAATGGACCCATGGGTCTGTAAGATCTTTGAATTGTCACAATTCTATCAATTGTTTTGATCGTCATTCGCCAACCAATCAGAGAATTTAGCATATTTAAACCAAAAAGGCAATTTCTTTTTAGTTTCCAAATTCTCTGATTGGTATCAGTATTGTAATTTTTTGATCAGTCATGGATTAGCTATGAGAATATGGAATGTTATAAATGTTTAAGAAAATTTTAGGCGGTTCTATCTCAGAATAAGGCCAGTTATGGTTATTCAATTCGTGTATTATATGAATGATTAATCTGATTAAATGAAATTAAAATGTCTTTGAGTTGGAATTGGAGATTGAGAATACGCATTTATAATACCTTTTTTTTTTTTTTTAAACCCCGAGATATCAATTATCTGGGGACGTTAAATGATGCGATTTATTATACTAATTTATATACATAATATTATATTATAGCTTTACTTGTCTAAACTATTTACACTATTTGCACATTTTAAAATAACTTTTTCTTTTGACTTGAGTAAGCGACTACTCAGAGCTATTTCTATTTTTTTTGCGATACTGACTTTTCATATATACTGCATTGCTAGTTCTGGCATCATATGGTTCCTCCACTTCTTGTTTGTAAACCAGACCCAGATTTCATATTAACTGTAATGTAGAGCCAAATAACTATCGTGTGAGGCTGGATGGCCTTAGCATTGAATGCTGTGATTAATTTCTCTATTGTAGCTGAAGAAGCTGCATCTTGCAAATGGCCAAAAATATCATATACAAGCTTCTATAGCTTCCTACTAATCCGGCATTCAATTGCGAAATGTTCTATTGTCTGTGATTCATTTGGGCACTATGGGCAGTCACATGAGACTGTTGGGTCCATATGCACCAATCTTGTACCCAAGGGAAGTGCCTTATACAACATCTGCCAAAAAATGTCCTTTTTGTTATTTGGGGCACATTTTATTTCTAACCATGCCCAGTTTTCCTTTTTATTGGACTTACTAAAAAAGTTAGTTTGCATTAGGGTGCAAGATATAGACAGTTTTTTCAGATACTTTGTGGCCTTTGCTATCGTCAAATTTGTCACACTGATTTCTATAATTTTAGTTTCTCAAGGTCCTATAGCCAATTTTTTTTACTGTTTGGAATTTTCCCTTTCAGTCTTTTCCATGCCGTAAGATACGGCTTCCATTCGCAAAGCCATCCTTTTAGTCTAATAGGTGGGGCAGAAAGGGCTTTCTGTACTGTTTTTTTGCATTTTCTGTACAATGCTTTTTCTATTTTCATTCTTTTATTTATTGCCCAAAAATTCTTACTAGTCAATAACTTTACCCAAACTATTATCAATCTTGATCAAGCATGTCTGGTAATACAGAAGCATTTAACCTATTATTTTTCCATGTCTGTTAATATATTGCATATCTTGGGAGGATTTTTGATTTGTCTTTTATCCAGGTAATCAGTATGTTATTAATTTTACCCAATTGTTTTTTATTTAGGGGGAGAATGTAGAATGTGAACCAGACCTTAGATAAGAAGAGTGACTTTGCTATTACAATCTTGCCTTTAAATGAGAGGCCTCATCTATTCATGCTATCTGTTAGCTTTTTAATCTTTGTGGTAACTGAATCCCATAGAGTTTTGCTTGGCTGTTCTTCTTTGTTTTCCTCAAACCCTAGAATTCTAATTGTCTTGTTTTTCTCTAATTTGTCAAAACTTGTCTCTCCTGGCAGTTCTGTCTGAAGTGCTTTTTTTGTTAGAAGTAATAGTTTGGATTTTTCTTTGTTAATTGCTGTATTTGCTGCTGCCTCATATTTTAGCAGTAGATTTGTTAAGATAGTCCAATCCTTTATTGTACCTATACCCACTGTTAGGTTATCTGCTAATTTACTTTTTTGAATTAACTAATAAAGAAATTATATCTATCTCAATATAAATTTATCACTATAAATTTAGAAATAATATGCCTGTTAAAAAAAAGAGAAGAAGGACTAAAAATATTGACCCGGAAGAATATAGAAATATTAAAGTAGGAGAAGAGAAAAAAAGACGTGAAACAATTGCTCAAGGTTTTATTATGCTTA